TGTTGGATGTATGTTGGATGACTGTTGAATGACTGTTGTATGTATGGTTGGATGAATTTTGTATGAATGTTGGATGACTGTTGGATGTATGGTTGGATGAGTGTTTGGATGACTGTTGGATGCATGGTTGGACAAATGTTTTGTTTGGTTGGATGACTGTTGGTTGGATGAATTTTGTATGTATGGTTGGATGACTGTTAGATGACTGTTGGATGTATGTTGGATGATTGTTGGATGTATGGTTGGATGACTGTTGGATGTTTGGTTGTATGACTGTTGAATGAATGTTGGATGTATGGTTGGATGACTGTTGGATGTATGGTTGGATGATTGTTGGATGTATGTTGGATGTATCTAACCCGCCGCAGTTAATTTATTTTAATGAAAAAAAATCTAAATGAAATAAAAAGATCCAGTGAAGTTGATCAAAGTTCGGTTCCGTCCAGTCAGATCCGAGCTGAAGAACCCGGTCCATCTGAACACACTTCCTACCGGGTAAACCTTTGATCTTTAGTTCGGATCTGCCGTTTAATTAGAAACGAACCGGTTCTTAGCCGGTTCTTCCCTGATCTGGATCCGTAGGAGGTCCAGGTTCTGTCTAACGGTCCTGCTGATTCAGGTTCTGGATCCTTACCGGGTTGTAGAACGGAGACTGGACGAAGGCCATGCTGTCGGGTCCGGTTCGGTTCGTGGACGGGGCAGCAGAATCCGGTGGACGTCGGAACAAAATGGAGTCTTTATCTGTTTGTGGAGAGTTTTTGTCCCGGTTTAACTTTCGGTTTTCATCAGGGGGCGTGTCCGGAACTGACAATAACGCGCCGAGGTGCGAGGAGCGCGTGCCCGCCGCTCCCAAAAGATGCAAAAACGAACCCCCTGTTAACTTCAAGAAATAAAGAATTAAGAATGATTTCACCTTTTCTACATAATCACACTTGTTCTCTGAGCTAACGAGTTCATACCAGGAAGCCGGGTCAGAACCGACATGAGCAGAACCGGAGTCGGTACCGAAGTCTTCCTGCAGAAACTGCGGCTCTGCTGTTGAGCTCGTCACTTATTAACATGAATAACCTGTTAATTAATCACTTATTAATGGGAGTGTTTAGACTGTGACGTTATAATTTAATCAAACTTCTTCTTTAATTGTAATGAAAAACAAAACACATTTATAAAATAAAAACCCACAGAAGTCTCAGAACAAACTGAGATCTTTGAATTAAAATATATAAAATTAGAAGAAAAAATTAATATCTATATGTAGCTTATTTTAATATCTAAACTTCTATGTATCTGTAAATAGATCAAGTAAAATGCAAAATAAAATATACATATAAAATCAGAGGGCGTGTCTAAACGCACATGACCGGGGGGCGTGTCTTAATCATCCAGATCAGGGGGCGGGTCTAAAGCTTCCAGTGTTGAGCAAAAGAATGAGACTGTCAGATCTTTGTCAGGCTTCTCTCTTAACCAACTTCCAGTTCTGTCCGTGAGGCTGACACGTTGTCTACTTTAAGACCAGCCTTAAGTCTTTCCTTTTTGATAAATCCTATGGTTGGTTTGGGTTTCCTGAGCTATCCATGGTGCTATAGGCTTAGACTGCTGGAGGACAAACTGACCACCTTCCTCTCTCTGCTGTCTTCACTCTCTTTGTATTTGTCTTAATAATCTTTCTCTTTGTCGTCCTTCCTCCTGTAAACCTGGATCTGCCATTTTCTACTTCCTGTCCGATCAAAGCGCAGACGGCCGCTCGTCCTGGTTCTGCTGGAGGTTCTTCCTGTTAAAGGGAGTTTTTCCTTTCCACAGTCTCCTTTGTACTTGCTCAGTGAAGATTCAAGATGTTTTTTGTAAAACGATTTCAGCATGAAGCGTTCAGGTGCACTAGAACTTCTGAAATGTAAACACTTATTTTTTTTTTTTAATCGGTTTGTTTTAAATTTGTTTACACGTCTCAGTTGGACATTATATTTTACATTTCATTGTAGATGATTTTCTGTGCGGACAAACATTTCATTTAAAAAAAATAAAAAAATAAACTTTTTCTTTTCCTTGTATTTCCTGATTCTGCCTCGTTTGATTTTCTGACACAATCGCAAACGACCGATCACATGACCGCAAACTTCCTGTTTGCGGTCATGTGATCGGTCATAACCAGTAAAACTGAATCATCGAGAAGTTTGTTTGGACGAATCAGGAAAACATTTAGTTTAACAAATTTACAGTTCGACTTCCTCCGTGTTTACTTGTAAACAACTCAGGACTGGAGCTGCTGAGAAACATTTTAATTATTTGAAGTTTACGTCCTTGACTCGACCTCAGACTCGGGTGTCGTGTTCAGAGTTGTTGCCATGGTTACTCTTTAACGTTGCTGCTAATTAACAGGTGACGTCCCAAGAGTTTAAATCACAACGTGACGCACTGTTCCTCGCCCCTGAACACATCTCCTGATCATGAACCACGAAACAGAAAAACAATATTTACTAGAAATAATATTTATTTATACATAAACATCTGAAAGCAGTCCGGTTATTAAAAATAACTATTTGACTTCAGGTAAAAGGGCGAGGTCAGAAATCAGATTTCTGAGATATTAAACCTTTTTTTTTGTTTGTTTTTTTGCTTACAACTTTATGTGTTTCAGTCTGTCTCCGCTGAAAGCCAAATATCCCACGCTCTCCAATCTCCTTAAACGCCTCTCAGTCTTTCTTCTTTTTCTTCTGCCCTCCTCCTGATGATGACGATTTCCTCTTCGTTGTCTCCTCCTCTACCTGCTCCATGTGGTCCCACACTTCGTCGTCCTCCTCTGCCTCCTCCTTCACCTCCCCCTCGGCTCCCTCCTCCCCTCCCCCCTGCAGGTCCTGGCTGCCCAGCAGGACACAGTTCAGCCGAGACTTCAGGTAGACCTTGTGCTGCACTCTGCGGTCCTCCAGGCTGTGGATCCAAAGGAAGCGGTCCAGGCCGCAGGACGCCACCAGAGGCTGGGAGGCATGACACTGCAGGGCCCGCACGCCCCCCGAGAACCCCTTCAGACGGCCTCGGACCAGCCCCTTCCTCAGGTCCAGCAGGGCCACCTGACCCTGGGTGTTTCCCACCACCACCGAGTTGCCAGACGCGGGCAGGGACAGCGCCGTAAGAGGATGCTCCCCAAACTCCGCCTCCAGGACGGGGCGCCGCTGAGGGGACGCCGGGTCGAAGATGTGCACCTGAGAGGTCAAAGAAAATTTTATTTAAAACGAGGACTAAACATTTTATTTCTTTTAAAACAAACTTCAATAAAGTTTAACTTTTACAAAACATGAAACGGAAAGATGATTCCAAACTCGGGTATGATCGTTAAATGCAGGTGAAAAAGTTAAAAACAGGTGCGCACGTGACCTACGTCATTTCAATACTTTATTAATCCCAAAGGGAAATTAAAAGTTGCTGTAGCTCGTTATCCTCGTTTCATTAAGGGATGTTACAGATGCTGATGGCTGTAGGCAGGAAGGAGGTCCGTCCCACAGCAGATCTAAAGAAACTGGCTGCAGATGTCCTCCGATCCGTCCACCCAGACTCGGCTGGCCTCTCGGTTCCTCTGGGCTGCAGGACCACCTGAATGGCGGCCAGAACTCCTCCCAGAAGCCTGTCGAGCTCCTCATCACTGCGGACAGCCGGCTGAAGGTGCCGGGGGATGATCATGCCCTTCTGCTGTCACGAGCCGTGTTTCCTGCTAGTTCCAGGATCTCAGTGTTCAGACACTCGCGCACAGCCTGCAAGGAGAGCGGAATGCATCCACGGCGCCTCCTTTTCAACTCATTGAATTGTTGTCATGGTTACACATCATAACAAATGTCCAAAAGTAAAATAAGTTCCAGTAAAAATCATTCCAGGTGCACAGCATCTGACACCAAAGGAAGCAATCATAAAAAAATTAAAAAAGTGATTTATATCCAGTAAAAGAGGAATTAAAAGTTTCCAAAAACAAAAACTCAGAATGAAAGTATCAGAGCTGCTCCAACATGCAGCCACACCGAGCGGCGCAATTATACAACAGATTAATTAAATGCACATGATGGTGACACGTGCACGTGACTCAACCAAACACACATGATGGTAGGCCTGTCACGATAAAAAAAAAAATTGCTGGGCGATTGTCTCAGAAATTATTGCGATAAACGATAATATTGTTTGAAATTTGACAATAATTAGTAATTATTGTCAAATTTAAGAAGAAATGGTGGTTAATTTTTGTGTGTAGTGCCATTTTTGACCACTGGATGGCAGTATAAGACAGTTTGAATGGAAGGATGGATAGTGAGGGAGTGAGCAGGGTGTCTCTAAGGAAAATGGGTGGGAGGCCCCTTGACGTGACATGGGCTGTCCCTACTTCCTGTTGTTGGTTCTCAAAATGGCGGACACTTGGTGTGGTTTGAGCTTGTCACGCCCCTATCTGTTACGGATGCACGGAACTCCGTTGTTTATGAATAAAAACTGTCTTAATTTACTTAGTAAAGTACATTCTCCATCTCCACCGGTCTTCATGTAGCTAATTTACACCACTCATATTTCAGTTACAAATCACTCAATCGCATTAGACCTGACCCCCAGCCTGGGCTGAATGAGAAAAACCTGCAAGATACAGAAAGAATTATTTCCACGGTGAAACAGCGCCGCTCGGTGGTGAAGCTGCGTATCTTTTTAACCATGACGTAAACATGGGAATGATTTTAACGGAAATCCAAGTGGAGTAAATAGCACAACTCAGAAGATGCTGATACTTCCTTTGCCTCCCCCCCCCCCTGCGTCTCCAGAAGTCGGGTGAAGCAGCAGCTAGAGAGACTGAACCAGAATAAGGCTGCAGGTCCAGATGGTGTCAGTGCCAGAGTCCTGAAGGTCTGTGCTCTGTGGGGTTCTGCAGCACCTCTTCAACCTTACCCTGACCCAGGAGAAGGTTCCAGTCTTGTGGAAAACATCCTGCCTTGTTCCAGTGCCAAAGAAAACTCACCCATCAGTCCTCAATGACTATAGACCTGTTGCCCTGACATCCCACATCATGAAGGTCCTAGAGAGACTTCTGCTGACCCACCTGACTAGACACACAAGCACATATCAGGACCCACTGCAGTTTGCTTATCAGCGTGGACTTGGAATTGAAGATGCCATCATACACCTGCTTCAGCAAACTCTCTGTCATGTAGAAAAGGCAGACAGCACTGTGAGAGTCATGTTCTTTGATTTCTCCAGTGCATTTAACACAATCCAACCTTTGTCAGAAACTCCAGAAGACTCAGGTGGAGGCCTCAACAATCACCTGGATCAAAGACTACCTGACAAACAGACCACAGTTTGTGAGACTGAAGGGTTGTGTGTCTAACCAGATGGCCAATAGCTCAGGAGCACCACAGGGCACTGTTCTCGCACCCTTCCTTTTCACTCTGTACACCTCAGATTTCCAGACTCTTGTCATGTGCAGAAATATTCAGATGACTCTGCAGTGGTCGGGTGTATCAGAGATGGACAAGAAGCGGAGTCCAGGAAACTGGTGGACCGCTTCGTGGCATGGTGTGGAAACAATCATCTCATCTTGAACGTGAACAAAACAAAAGGAGATGATTGTAGATTTCAGGAGAAACAAGAACAGGTCCAACCCTATTTCCACCATGGGAGAAGAAGTGGAGGTGGTGGAGAAGTATAAATACCTTGGGGTTCACCTGGACAACACACTGGACTGGAACTGCAACATTTAAATACATTTTGAATTGAACCGATGGTGACCTGTGCACGCGACCTAATTAAACACACCTGATGGTGACCCGTGCACGTGACCACCTTGTCGCTGTTCTGGATGAAGGCCAGGTCCCGGACCCAATGGGGTCTCCGCAGGTCCAGCCAGTCGTCCCGCAGGTTCTTGGCAGTGAACACCGGGGTGTCGGGCCGCTCCAGGTCCCAGATCTTCAGGCCGTTCTCTTTCCCTCCGGTACCGACCCGGTTCGGCTGCACAGGGTTCTGCCGCATCTTGCAGACGTTCTTCCCCGCGTTCAGTTCCGAGACGGGTTCGGGGGAGTCCTCCTTCCAGACCCGCAGCTTCCCAGAGTCCACGCAGGTGAGAACCGAACCGTTCCGAACCTCCAGTCCGGTGAAGCAGCCCTCCTCCGGGTCTCCGCAGCGCCGAACCTCCGTGAAGATCCCCTTCTCGGTGCTGAACGTCTTCACGGTTCCGTCCACGCTTCCGACTAACAGCTCGGTCTCGGTCGTGTCCCCCCAGCACAAGACTCGGATCTCCTGGTCCCGGCTCAGCTCGCGCGTGTTGCAGAAGTTAAAAGCCCGTTTGTGGGTCACGCTGACCCCCTTCAGGATCCCGGTCTCCGAACCGAGCCACACCGAGCACAGCCGGCTCTGGTCCCCCATCACAGCCTGACTCTGATCAGAACCGAACACGAATCGGGGCCTGGTACTGTCCGGGTACACACGTGCTGCTTTCGTGTCGCGCAATAATGACGTCACGCGGAGCTAACGGGTTAATATATATATATTTTTTTGTTAACATTACAAACATTTGTCTGTGTGTTAAAGTATAAAAAAGACCAAAACAATCTATTTAAAGTTTATATAGATAAATTCACATGAAGTTTTTCTAGAACTTAGTTTTTCTTGCTGAAGTGGGTTATGTTTGGAGTTTGACCACTTTTTCTTGTGAATGTGAAATTTTCCCAGAAGTAGAAGTTGAGTGAAGTATATCAAGTTTTTATCAAGGTCCTTATCATCAAAGCAAAATGTCTTTCTCTGCAAGCTGAATTATATGTCCAGTTTTCTGTCATATGAGTTGTACATCTGCCCAGAATGCCTTTGTATGAACCTGTATAAATAAAGGTTAAATTAATGAATGGTTTTATTTAATGGGTGATTAACAGGCTTCTGCAGAACATGACGGAGTAATTAAATCACTGAATCAGGTGTGTTGGAGCAGAGCAACAAGTGAAACATGCAGGATGGCGTTCCTCAAGGACCGGGGTTGGGAAACCACTGATTTACAGAAACTCGCATGTAAAATTTGGATTTTAAATAAAGTTTTTATCATGGAAAAAAAAATTGCTTACGTAAACACAAAGCGCCTGGTGTTCGCGCATGCGCAATGCTTGCCTACACCATTTTGCGTGTAGTTAGCTAACAGCAGCTAGCTGTTTGTGTAATTTTCTTCGTTTGGCTGTATTTTTGTTTGTTAGTTGGGTGATTTTGTTTTTTTTGTGTTAACGGCTGTGATAATAAACCAGAGTAAACAAACCCATCGGTTCTGACCCGGACTGTCTGTCTTCGTCTGAGCAATGGACGGAGAAGAAGACGACTTCATGTCCGGGACTCACTCCGGTAAATAACCCAGCTTTGTTTACTGATTTCCGGAGACAACAAGAAGCCGAAAAGGGCTCACTGTGCGCGGGTCAGGGAACATCCAGGGAACCTGTTTCACGGAGCAGATACAAACCTCCAAAGAACTGTATCGGTTCTGGTGTTCGGTTTCTGTTCGCGGCAAAAGCGTCGCGTGTATTTTACCTGTGTGCAGTCCTGCCAGCTGTAGCTCACCCAGTATTTATTAAAATCCAGTTTGAAGTGAAAATAAATGGGACTGATAATAGTTTAGTTTATCTAGAAGGACCCGAACACATTAAACTTTTTTTTTAAAAATTAAATCAATGTCGGATTATTTTCAATCCATACAGAATACAGCAGAAACCACGTTTTCAGTCCAGTTTACACTAGATTAAAAAAAAAGAAAGTTGTTACGTTTTCATCGTCTGACATTAAATGTGACGAAAGTTTTCCTCAGGACTCACGAATATTTCTGTTTCAACGTCTGACTAATGGCAGACATTGTTTTATGACAGTCTTCAGTCATAGCTTGCATCATGACGTTAAACACGTTGGGAAGTCCAGATGATGATGTCATAACTTTGGAAGCTTTTGATTGGTTCGTTAACATCTGAGTTAATTGGAGCAACACCTGTGGATGCATTTTAAGACACAACTGGAACTGCTGCTTTGTGAGGCATCGTGGGAAAATCTAAAGAAATGATCAGGAAGAGAATCGTCGACCTCCAGAACGTTGGTTCTTCTTTGGGTCCAAGTCCAGATGACTGACGGCTCCTCTGCTCAAACTATTTTACATGAGTAAAAACGCCATGCTGCTTCTGTGTCGGTCTGCTCACTCCTGTGTTTTTGTTGTTCTGAAACGGTTTTAGAAGAAGTTGTCGTTCTGTTTGCAAAGGTGTTTCTCCTTTTACCTGTTGGGTCACAACCAGAGCCGGTGATCTGTGGAGTTTCAGGGCTGTCCTGATATGATCGCAAGTATCCGATCAGAGAATCGACAAATTATTTTTCATTGATTGATATTGGGATAATTCAAATCTTTATTCAGGACTTCCGTAATTTCATAATTAAGAAATTAAAATATTGTAACTTGTAAATTAGTAATTTTTCACGTTATTTTTCAGTCAGATTTTGTCTGTTGAATGTTGGTTCTTGTGAGGATTATAAAGTTATTTGTATGATCACTTATATTTTGTGCACAAGAAGCATCAGCAGAAGAGCCTGAAGACGTTAACGTAAAGCTCAGAATCTCAGCTGCGTTTCCAGTCATTTAGGTTTTTACAAACGCAGAGAGAACCTGACTGTTCTCAGAGCCAACTCTGTTCCGCTGGGTTCAGCCTCTGTTATTGAATCTGTTCGTCTCTGTGGAACAATGTGAACATGATTAAAAACACTCCATGTGCATTTACAGACGATGGAGGTGCCACGCCGGTTCAGGATGAACACCCGCTGTCAGACGAGGAGGAGATGAAGATCAGCAGACGCCATTCTGAGGTCAGACTCCTTAAAGGCACTTTTCTTTTAAAACTTGTAACCATATTTTTATTCCAAGCTTGTTGTTTTTTTCTGGTTTGCTGAACAGATATGAGTTCAGTCCACTCCAGTAGACACCAGTGGGAATTTTTTCTCTGGTTTTATCATTAAAAAACCTGCACAGGTTAAAACGGAGATGAAAGACTTGAACTACACAGCAGCTTGCAGTACTCAGCCTTGGGGGTACTGGAAGGTGCTTCAAATGGGGACTCATTTAAGCCCCTTATCCACAGGGCCGGTTCTTGTTGGACCCTGTTGTGTCTGGTTCTGGTGGGACCTCTTTTTTTCTGTCTCCACAGTGCCCATAGTTCCCGTTTAGTGGGTGGTTTGTTCACCTCTAGTGGGCGGATTATTAATATCAATGCACCTTACCAGCTGGTGGCACTAGTGCTACATTAAGCTCTTTTCTAAGCACCACTAACATGTATTAGAAGAAGAAGAGCCGGAAAACAACACACAACCAAAATGGATGGCCTCCTTGATCTCCGCCCTCCACCAATGAATACGCCCCCTGACCAATCGGTGACTTACAGTGCGCTGATGTCGCATCTAGACCCAACAAGAACCAGACCTGGGACATCGGAGAAGTAGGTCCCAAAAATGGGGTGGGTTCCACCGCTGAAGGCATTGCGGATAAACCACGCAATCGACCTGAACTAGTTACATAGGAGCCCCAAAAGGCCCTGTGGATAAGGGGCTATATTCTACTGGAGGACTTTAATCCCCACGTGGATGTGATCTGGAGAGGTGTGATTGGAAGAAGTGGCCTCTCTGATCCGGACCTGAGCGGTGTCCTGTTGTTGGACACCTAGTCACGGGTTGTCCATCACGAACACCATGTTCGAACATAAGGGGTCCATAAGTGCACTCGGCACCTGCACGTTCCAAGCTGCACATCAGTGATTGATTTTGTAGTTGTCATCTGATCTGTGGGTTTGTTTTGGACACTCCGGTGAAGAGCTGAGTTGACAACAGATCACCACCTGGTGGTGAGTTGGATCAGATGGCAGAGGAAGATGCTGGACAGACCCAAACATGTAGTGAGGGTTTGCAGAGAACTCCTGTCAGATCAACCAGTTAGAAGGACATCTCAAACCTCAGACAGAACTTCAACCACATCCCAGCGAGGGTGGGGAACATTGTCTGAGTGGACCATGTTGAGGCCAGCTGCCTTGAGCTGCAGCCACAAAGTTGTCGGTGCCTCTTCTGATGGCCTTCCTCCAAGTCGGTGGTGGACACCCTGTGCGACGAAGGCCGTCAAGCTGAAGGAGTCCTATCAGGTCTAGTTGGCTGGTAGGACTCCAGAACCAGCTGAGGAGTACCGGCGGGCCAATCAAGTTACAGTCCTGGCACTTGCTGAGGCAAAGCTCCGATGTGGGATGAGTTTGGTGAAGCCTTGAATTGAAACTGTTGATTGACTCCAAGAAGATTCTCATAAACTGATGTGGCAAGCCGGTTCAGACATCTGGTAAGTCTCCTGGACGCCTCTGTAGGAAGGTTTTCTTGGCATGTCTGACTGGGAGGAGACCCAGGAGAAAACCCAGCATACACTGCAGAGACTCTCAGTTGGCCTGGAAACACATTGGAGTCCTCCCAGAAGAACTGGAGCAGGTGGTTGTAGACAGAGGTGTCTGGACCTCCCTTCCCCAGCTGAGACCTGAGTCCAGAACAAGAGGAAGATGATTGACTGGATGGACGGGTTACCTGGTTCATGAACATGCTCCAGCATCAACGTGGAGGCTGCACAAAAGTCTGTTGGAGTCAGCCTCCCCACCATCACAGACATCTACACCTCTAGATGCAGGAAGAGGGCCACCTGCATCATGAGGGACTCCACTCACCCAGCACACACACACTTTTTGTCCCGCTCCTCTCAGGCAGGAGGTTGAGGAGCATTAAGTGTAGAACCGCTGAACTGAGGAACAGCTTCTACCCTGAGGCTGTTACTCATGAACCAGATATTTCTTAGTTTGAGACGAACTGTTGCAGATCAATGACTGGTGTTTTTGTTTGCAGGACGAGGGCAGTAATGACGAAGACTCCAACTTTATGGAAACCGGTGGGGCAGCCAGCGACTCTGACGCAGAGGACCACCGCAGAGCTGACAGCGACTCAGACGGCGACTCAGACGGCGAGGCTCCAAGGGGCCATGACAATAAAAGTGACTCTGAGGCGGAGGCGCCACAGCCTGCCGACAGTGACGATGACTCTCCGGTTAAACGAAGGATGAGCACATCAGACAATGATGAGGAAGAGGAGTCACCAGAGAAACCCAGAATGAGCGGATCGGACAACGAGGAGTCGTCTCCGGTCAGACATGAACTGTCTGACACTGAGGTGAGAGAGGACTCATCCCCGGTTAAACGCAGAGGAAGCAGCTCAGAGCTGGAGGACGAGGAGGATGCGCCCAAAGCGGCTGCAGACAGCGACTCTGAGAGTGAGGAAAACAAACCTGTGGCGTCCCCCGACCACCGTTCTGACAGCGATGCCGATAATGAGGAACCAAAACCTGCTGCGTCCCCGGATCGCTGCTCTGACAGCGACTCTGAGAACGAGCGAACAAAACCTGCAGCGTCCCCGGATCGCCGCTCCGACAGCGACTCTGAGAACGAGAAAAGGAAACCTGCGGCGTCCCCGGATCACCGCTCCGACAGCGACTCTGAGAACGAGAAAAGAAAACCTGCGGCGTCCCCGGATCGCCGCTCCGACAGCGACTCTGAGAAGGAGAAAACCAAACCTGCGACGTCTCGTGATAGCGACTCTGAAAATGAGGATTCGAAACGTGCGGCGTCTCCTGACCGCCACTCTGGCAGCGACTCTGATAATGAGGAATCCAAACCCGTGGCATCGTCCAAACAACGTTCCGACAGCGACTCCGACTCAGGGACGCCTGCCAGACGCAAGGTGTCCCAGATGGACTCTGACGAGGAGGAGAAACAGCAGGAGGGAGGAGGAGGAGGGAAGTGGAAGGGTGTGATGCAGTCTGACAGTGAGGAGGAGGAGGAGGAGGAGGGAGGGCGACGGAGGAAGGCTGCAACTGGAAGTGATGAAGAGGAGCGGCAGGAGGAAGAGGAGAAGCAGCAGAGAGACGACGACGACGAGAAGCCAGGTACCGAGTCAGCTCAATGACACGCCTCTTCGTCTTCCTTGCTTTACAGAAACAATCGTTGGAATCGTTTAATTCAAAGATAAAAATGTCGGTGGTTTTACTTCACGTCCAAACTGAATGTAAAGTCGCCCCTCGTTAAAATGTCGGGTTTACAAACGGGTTGTCAAAATGTCCCTGTTTTTTTGTGACACGTATCCTGAACTCGTCTGAAAACAGGCCGTCGTAGGAAAAATGTAATAAAAGATGCTGGTTGCATAAGTATGGACACCCCTAAATTAATTTGTTGAAGCATTTAACCAAATTAAATAAATGTTCAGTGTTCATGCTGAGCCAAGACTGACGAGTGGCTAAAGAGCAGAAGAGAAGCTAGAAGCCCCAGTTCCAGAGAAAGAAAAGCAACGCCAGTGTTTCCCCACCACTATACAAGCGGGGCGCCCCACCCCATCAACAGAACTGAGTGC